CTTGTCTCTAGCTTCCTGCATTTTTAGTACTAGTGGGAGACCGGTAAATACTGTTTTCAGGGTCCAATATGTTCCCTCAAGCACATCGGCATCAATCCTCTCGTCAGCAACGGCCCTGGTTGCTATTCCAAAACAGAGGAGCTGTGCTCCTTTAGCTATAATTGATGAATTCCATTCTCCACCTCCCAGGCTGAACAACAAACTTCGCCAACTTTCTGGGGTGTACCTTATTTGGTCTTCTTGTTTCCATTCTTGTTTCCAACCTTCACTCTTCTGTATTGGTGAGAACAGAAATCTATGTCTTTGACACGTGTCACCACGGTTGAGGGTTTCATTTCCCCAACACCTTTTCGAATGAACCCACTCTCTCTACTGTGTCTAGTTTGGTTTGCATATTGTTGGACTTTGTCTATCTCTCCTCCCACGACTGAGTCATCTCCAGAGACTAGGGGAGTAAGAACCTTTCCATCCCGAAAATCCTCTACACTACAAACCCCTGCTTTTTCTGCCCTGACTCCTATCTGAACTGCATTACAGACTGAGTTTCCAAAGTAAGTTGGGTACATGCCACTTCCTCTCTGTCCATCAGTAATAAAGACATGCCTATCCGGTGTAAGAATCACTCCATCAATCCACATTGAGTAGTACTCTTCTAAAAAGAGCCTTTTACTAGGTACCAAACTGCACAACTTCTCACACTCCAGTTTAGATACGGTGCACACATTCGTACGTCCCACCTGGATACGTCATCTGTAACCGCCGCTGGACGACTCAATCCCCTCCAGAATGATTCTATGTATCCTCCCATCCCTAGTTGTCCATATGGTGGCGCCATGAATGGAAGAGCATCATGATTTGACATCACGAACGACCACAGTTTTCCTACAACACGTAGCATGTTCAGACGTACTGGGATCGGGGCATATTGTATCACCCTTGGTTTTGGTCTCACTGCCGCTTCACTACTTTCTTTCTTTTCGTACTTCGCCATTGCAGTAATGTATCGCAGAGTTTCTTATCTGCTTTTAGTTGTTTTTCAAAAATTTTGTCGTCTAGGTAGTCCCGCATACTGATGTCTTCCAACATTCCTTTTCCGCCTCTGCGGTTTGCTTGTTCCCTGAACTCATCAGCCGTAAAAATTCCCCCGTGGAACCCAGAGCTCTTGATCCTTTTTACTGAATGATAACCCTCTTCTGTGCATGTCAATATTCTCACTATCCCAGCAAGCCGGTACGTCCATCCTATTCTGCATCGACGCAACTAGTGCTTTTGCAGAATCATCCGTTGGCAATGCAAATCCTGGTGGCACATACCGTGTAAGCCCACTTCCGTTGACAATTTGAGATATTTCACTATGGGCTCTTGGCTGAGTTATTGCCTAGAGTCGCGAACATCCTTCCATACAGGAGAAGTCTTTTCAACTGTATGTTAAGCATCCCAATGCCTAGAGCTTTAAGATACTTTGTCACCATGTTTGAGTTCTTTTTCTTCTCTACATTCTTGACTAGTCGACTTGTTGTGGTGCTGCACTCACGCACAACTAGGGGTGAGTATTGCGACCAAAAACCGTATTGCAATAACGGTATAGATTCGAGAAAAAGTACTGTTATTCTACTATACTACTGAATAACATGGCGTTGGTACTGTTGTTGCCGGTAGTGGATATGGATGAAGAGCAATAAGATATTACATATCAGACATTACATTTACTAACAGATTTAGAGCAAGTCAACACAGTCGACTAACTTATATTCCAGACGTTACTGTGTTAATTAGTAACACAATTAGTATGTTCATAATCTTGCTAATATTGTTGTATTCCGAGTGCTGGGATGAATGCCCGTTTCTGGCGTGACTGCTGGATACTGTGTTCTTTTTCTTGTTCTTGGTTTGCTGATCGTTTTAGCTGCACTCGGTATTGCTGTGTGTTGTCTGTCGTTAATCGTTTTATCCCTGTGAATACTTCTGCCTCGTGCGCGACCTTTAGCTGTACATTCAAGGATGTATAATATTGGAATAGTTGTGTGGATGGTGAGTACGCGAGTTCAAATGCGGGCGGGAGTTGCTGCTTGATGTGGTTAAGGGCTTGGTATGGTTCTTTAGGCGCGAGTAGTGTGGATAGACAGGTATGAGCTAGTAGGTCGTTGATTGTTTGTGTGAGCACTGTCAACGTGCTTCTGGCTTTATCGATAATATTCATGTATTCGTGGTAGGTTCCAATGATATCTATTACTCGTATGATGTCGGTCGTCACTAAGTTGTTTGTATATTTCATTCTTGCTTCCAATAGTCCTATCGTACGGGCCATCTGTTCCGTGGCATTGGCCAGTCTTGTTATTCCCTTGGTGTTTGCTTCCGTCTGTAGCCTGGTAAAGTTTCACACTGTTTTGTGTTCTTTTACAATTTTGGTCAAACCTGTCTGGTCTTCGTATAATCTGGCTACTTGTTGCTGTACGGCTTGCATGTCTTCTTCCGTTGCCGTCCCGAATAGAAACTGTGACAGTCTTCCCTGCTGGTTACTCTTTCGACAGCGACTCCGAGTTGGCCTGCTGCAAAGATGTGCTGGCAGTGCACTTCAACTGATGTTAGTGTCATACCTTGACATTTGTGGATCGTCATTGCAACCGCAAGCAGTAAGGGTAGCTGCTTCCTCGTTGCAATGACCTTCTGATGTGCCGGTGAAAAAATTGAAGAAAGGTGAGCACTGATGATTATTGCCTGTTGATGACCCTTGACTTCAAACTTTACGAGAGGGCCATCAGGTGTGATCGCAGTAACTGTTCCTAACAGGCTATTGAAGTACTGTTCTGATATGTTCGCAGTCAGAACAACAGGTGCACCGAATTTGAGGGCAACATACCTGGGAACTCTAGATCTTCTTAATGTTTGCCTATCTCCAGAGTCGGTCGCCGTGTATAAGGTCTGCTTTCCTTGCAGCTGGCTGAGCTTTTCTGCACTGAATACATCAGCCTCAAAATTTCTAGAGAAAAGGACAAGCTGACCTGATGCCTTCAAAGGGCGAGCTACCTCAGCCAGGAGAGAGCAAGAGCCTGGGGATAGAGATTCACCCCTAGCTAGCTCGTTGATGCAGGTGATTAAGACATCATCTTTCTGGCAAAGTACCTGAGCAAGCTGCAGCTTGTGTGGGATGCAGATGAAGGTGTGAGATAGAAAGCAATGGTGACCATAGTCACCATACTCTGGACTTGGCACTGGAGGTAGCTGATAGAAATCTCCAGCCATTATTATTTGGAGGCCACCAAAGAAGAGATCAGATGACCTTAGTTTTCTGCAAATAATTTCCAAGGTCTCCAGTGTTTGCTGACTCAACATGGAGACTTCATCAATGAGGATGGCATCAACTGACAGAATGTTGTTTTCCACTGCCGTGTATGCATTATCAGTGTTGATGAGGTGTGCTAGGTGTTCTCCACTGAAACGACCATCTCCCATTCCAGCCCACTTGTGAATGGTGGAGCCTCCATATTCCAGAAGCGCATTAGCAGACACACCTAAGTTAGAAAAAAACATATCATAAAAATTATTTTTAATTTAATTTTAATTTTACTTTAAATTAATATGTTAAATAAAGGTTATCAAACAAACATATACTTATATCATTTCATTTTGCAAATAAACGTTGACTCACACGCTAATGTTTCTGTATCATACTCCATATTCTGCCCTATTTTTGCTATTAGATTTCAGTACGACTTGCCAGCAACATCTTTTTGAATCCCAGACATTCAAATGGCTCAATGTTTCCATTTTTACGGGTTACGAAATCTTTATATTGGGCAAAGTTTCATGTTATTAATCACTTTGCAGTAGCCTAGTAATAGTTCATATCTATTGTGCTTAAAACAGCAACCGTTTTCCCCAAGCTTCTTAACGTTTCCGCTATTTCTTTCACCAGGTATGTCTTTCCTGTACCTGAAAAATCATGCACAAACTTATTTATAGAGCAAATATTCTACCACTAACATATCAGTTTAAAATGTCTAATCTCAATTTGCAACGTTCATTCAGATAACGTATCTCGCTGACGCTAAACCATTTTCTAATTTCGAATATTATGTCGTGTTTTTATATCCAGAGTCCATAATAGAGCATATCTCAATGATGGATTCTTGATATATGTTTCTATATGTTAGTTCTAATCTCAATTTGCAAATTTATTTCAGATATTGTATGATGGTAAACTATTTTGTAATTTCTAATATGTCGTGTTTACATATATATATAATATATATAGGGCCTATATTATTGATTCTAATCTTAATTCGCAAATTAAGGTCAGGTATCGTATCTGGCTGACGCTAAACTATTTTCTAATTTATAAGTATTAATTCAGTTTACTAATATAATGATTGTCTATAAATATATAAATATATCTCTAAGGGTAATACTATTAACAGATTATATCTTATATGGACTCTCAGTGTAATATTGTTTTTCAAGAGCGTCTTTAATTAAAGTCTTTCTAAATCGACGCATTCTGCCTAATAACGCTGCTGCTGGAATTGCATGTTTCCTAAAAATTAACTATGATCATGATTTATCCAATTTACTTGTGTCATGAATGATCCAGAAGTCGAAATTGAAGGGGGGGGTGTCGAGTGGGGTATGAAGACGCCCGAAGGGCGGTTTCTTATCTAGCTAAAATAACCCTAATTGCCCTGAAAAATTCTAGGGGCGGACGCCCTGTGGCTTGTGCACCCGCCCCTGATTATAGCCATTGACTAAGGTTTAGTAGCGTTAATTAGTAACGTATTTATGTGTAAAATGTCAAAAAATACCTGCTTGTCTCCCAAACTAGAAGGTTATGTCATCGCCTATTTACTAATCGACCGCATACCTAATTCTTGCACATGTGTCAAAGCTAAAGCATCTTTTATAAGCAAGAACGAAATTCTTCTTTGGCACTAAATATAAAATAACAATTCGAATAAAAATAATAAACAAAAGACACATAGAAATAAAAATAGTAAACAACCCTAGTTAAACAAACAAACATAACAAAAAGTAAGAAACATACGGCAGAAGACAAAATACCAGGTAAACCAAGCAACAGCAATTAAAAAAAGGAAGAGAAACAACAAACACAACAAAAACACATAACAACAAATACGAATACTAAAGAATAAGCACAAAATACAGAATAACAAAAAACCAGAACTACAACCAGAAAATAGGCGAACAGGCCCAACAGAAACAAACAACATATAACATAACACAACTAATGCATGAATAGTGTAGTGCCCTAAGGTTACCGACTACGGTATGACAGTCGTTATATAGTTAAACCAGCCCTCTGACAGCTAAACGGTTTGTCCATTGCCGGACAAGAGTCTATGTCGGAGCAAGCTTATTCTCTTTGCCGATAGTTGGCCCGATCGACTAACTGAAAAGTCTAGTTGTTTGAATATTCTTAACATCCCTCTGCGCAGGCGCTGATCGCCACATTCTCTATCTGTCAAACGTTTTCAAGGTCCCTGAAAAAAGCAGCCCCTGAGACACCACTGTTTACGCCATTAGCAGATATTATTCAGAGCGCCTCAGCGGCGTAACCCTCTCTGGCTGGGGCGCGCCATTGATTTATGTACTCCCCCCGCCGGCTGGGGTAAGATTGTTTATAAGTCGGTTGGGGCCGAATATTCATTACTCCGAGAACTGATGTAGGGGGTGCGGCATCGCTGGGATAGAGGATGACAGCAAAACTCTCATTCCTGTGATTGAAGGAAAAAGGCTGGCAATCGTAAATGTCACACAATGAGCCGCCAGCATGCAAACATAAACGCATGTGAATTTCATTAGATTTTACATGTACTGTACTTTACTTCGTGTCATATCAGTATAACCTTCCATGATTATTATGATACAGTCGCACCCGCATATTTTGGGCATTGAAAATTGGTCCCAAAACATTTGTACATAATACAAGATTTTCTTAGCCTCGTCTAAATAAGTCAGGCAACCCCCATGATTTTTTTAATTGAAGTTGTGTACAAAAGCGGCGGTCTTCAATTACACAAGTAAATACGGTAATATATATCCGTAACTGTGTAATACACACGCACGCAACGCATGCAAACGCGTGTGGCAGAACACATGCCTAGGTCATGTGCGAGCCTACTCTATGCAACCGAGGAATACTGGAAAATGTCAGTGATGTTATAATAATATAGTATATATATATATATAATATATCATACATCTCACCCCATATATGTTTATAGTATGTATAATATATCATTTACATAATATAGATCTCTATAATTATACCCACTCCTTCGATAATATCGATCATGCACTGAAGCCACAAAGAGGACATTACTGGGTCGTACATTGCGCACAAGTAAATTTGGACAGAGTAAACATCAAAAATCGGACAAGTAAAAATTGCTTCTGTTGCCCGACAGGAGCAACCAGAATCTGACCATAAGCGTCGAGGCCCTGTTAAACACGTGGTATAGTTATATGGATTCAGTGTTCGGCTCCTATGCGTGAGGCAGGATGGTGATGCCGTGCGTCAGTAAACAGAGTAGTACCAGTGGAACGGACAACACAGTTTAGATTCGGTTAAACCGTAGGGTTATAGTTTTCATTGCTTCTTTACTAGACTAAAAATAATTCCCCTGCATTCGTATAGGTACGGTGGGCGATGCCTATAACCACTAGACTAATGTTTGAAAAATTAACACCAAGCGCCGCCGTTTCCGTCCTACCCCTCTCACGTTCGTGCCTTTCTTCGCGTAGACCTAGGTAGCCTCCACGAGGTTGCCCCTCGTAGTCCGCTCCTGCTCTACCTTAACCTGAAATCCGCCGTCTTGACTTATCTTGCCGTGTTTAATTCCCCTCTCCCGTTGTTTCTCCGGTTTTCACTCTTGGCTACCGTGAAAAGCACGGCTACCTATTCACCCCAATCCATTATCTCTCTCCTCGAAACCCTAAAAGGCTTTCTCCCCCACTTATCCCTTCGTATCCTCTCTTCTATCTCTACCTTAGGACCTCAAAAATAACGCGCGTCCTGTGCCCTTCGGCGCGACTTCCCCTAGCATCCTCCTAACGTCCGAACATTCCTCCCATACCCACGCCCGAGAATTTTTCCACTGTAATTTAAGCATCCCCGATGCCCGTACCCGAGGCTTTAAGATACCTTCGTCACCATGTTTGAGTTCTTTCTTCTTCTGCCTACATTCTTGAGCAACTCGACTTGTTGTGTGCCTGCCACCCTCGTGGCACCGCTCCGGCAATATATCCTCACCGTACTCAGGATCAAACACTTCCATCATACCAATTTTTCTAAGTCTACAGCTCTCACTAGAAGTCGAACTTCGTTCTGCCACTCCTTGACTCTTCTCCTCTGTCCGTGGTACTCAAACTCAAGAATAATTTCATTCTCCTCAC